ACGGTCGCAACACGGACTGTTGAAGCACATTTGTTTTTTTGGGGAAAAAGAAGAATTCTGCTTTATAGTATTGTTTTATTGTAACACATTCATTGCTAGCTGGCAATGAATACAAACTCTGCTAAAAGGGAACTATTTAACATTCTGAGAAGTCAAAATAAAGGAAATGATTAAAAAAAAAAGAAAAAAGGAGAGGTAAACCTTAAGTGGCCGTATCTTAATTAGTAGGGCAGTGGGATAAAGGGTAGAGCGAGGGGCTCGCCAGGCGCGCAGTGCTGTAATTCTGCCTGAGAAGCTGCTCTTTAAGTTGCCAGGCATCTGTTACTAGTAACTAACATGATAGGATTACCTTTTTAATAGATAGAAAAAAAAAAACCCGTCTGCCGCTTCAGCTGCCTAAAAAAAGGTCTCTCTCCTAATTCAATGAACCCTTTCAGAATTAAAAGCAAAAAAACACCGCCATCTGCCGGCCTCCCAGCTCAATAGGCGGCTGATTGAGTGGCCTGCGCTGTGCCTGTTGTATGAGTGAGGTCAAAAGAGAAAAGCACTTTGTGAGTCGGGAGTTACCGTGTCAGCTCTTTCAAGAGCTCCTATTCTAATAAAATTTTTAAAAAAAACGAACATTTTTTTCTTTTTTCAATCCCTCAGCTTACCGTTCCAGCGAATGAATATTGCAGAGAGTGTCGCCCTCCTGCCCTTGACCTGAGTAAATCTTGCTTCTAACCTTGAATCTGCTGCTGAATGCATCTTACTTCCAAACAAACAAGGAGATACCTTCCTACTGTTCAATCCCCATTCTATGTGCAGAGATTTGTTTGTTTTTTATTCGTAGCCCATGGAACCAAATCACAGAAGGGTCATCGAGGGCTCCAAGAGTCAGCCCAAGGTTCTCCAGCCAGAACTACAACTGAATCACCACCTTGCAGCACAAAGACGGATGACATTAAAAACAAAAACAATTGGTATCAAATAATGCGACGCGATAAACCTCCATGGCGAATTGCAGCCAATATTATTTTGGATAAAAAAGACTCAGCAGGTACAAGTGATAACTGGATATGGAGAGTTTTTCTAGAAGAAGGTTGGAAGGTTTTATTTTGCTCTGCTCAACACACCCACAAACTCAAGTGCACAGGTCCCGGGTGAAAAGTGCCAATGCCAGCTGTCTGTGACCTTCTGCCAAACATGTAAAGGTCTCCCGGGCTTATGCCCAACACTTTGAGGACCCAAAACAAGTCATCAGGGACTGTGCTGGGTGCACTGGTTCGTCCATTTGGAAGCAAGATTTGGACTGGTTGCTAGGGGTCATGACACTGCTGTTTGCACCATTATAAAATATGTACAGCAGCATATAGTACAATTGTGGTCTAATGTACACACACACATTTAAAAACAAAGTTAAAAAAAAAACATTTTTATTTATTTTATTGATATGTACTGGTACATGCAGAATAACAGCAGCATGCAATGGTCTACTTACCAGACTCACTGTGACTCTCGTCTCCAGAGCTGGTGCTGCTTCGGCATGGCTGGGCACAGCCCCTGGCTGGTACAGAGGATGGCACAGGGGCTGGAGATATGGCACTGACGGGTGTAGCAGCCTGGGCATTTCTGACACTCTCTCCCTTATTGATCGGGAATGGGAAAACCACCGCCGGGTCCACGCAGTGAGAGGCAGGGTTGTTCAAATCCTCTCCTTGACCCAGCAGGTTGCTGGCGGCAGGGGTGCCAGCCTGACTTGGGGTTCCAGACTCTACAATCCCGGCAGCCTTCCCGAGCTTCTCGTTGACAGCCCTTTCCAGCTTCTCCCTGGCTGAAAAGCCGCTCCACATGCAGTCCTGAATAATGATGGACTTGAGGTTGCAAGGGGACAAACCCAGCTCGCTGCTCTGTGGCAGACCCCAGCCCGATCCCCCCAGCAGGTCGGCTTCGGGGGGCAGCAGCAGGAACTCCGACGCCCAATCCAAAGCATCTCCATCCCCCTGTAAGCCGTACTCCAGCAAGGGCCCCTGCCCAGGAGACAAGGGGTCGCTCTGCAGCCCAGCTCGGCTTGGGGAGAGAGGAGGAGTGGGGAGCAGCTCAAACTTCTTCCAGATGTCTTCCCCTGGGGGAGCGCAGTCCGGTCCGCACAGATAAAAGTCATCCTCGTCCGGGTAGAAACAAGGCTGCAGGGAGTCAAACTCCAGGTCGGGGTTCTTACTCACCACCCCGGGCATCTTTCCGCTCCTCCTGGCTACGGAACGCCAATGAACGACCAGGGACGTCTTATCCAAAGATCCAGCTGCTATCTGAAACAGAGGAAAGGAGCTCCAGTCACCACTATGGTACACAAGACACAGATCCAGGTGAACGGCAATAGCAGAGGTCTACCAAATGCATTTAATCACTTTTGCAACCCTCTCAGATTGTAATAACGGCATGCACTTGCATGCCCACATCTGCATTTGTATCATGCATGTATCTGCATTTGTTCAAGGTGTGCATGGCCCCTGTGTAGCAGTGAGCCGTCACCTGACAGCTAGCATCCCTCACCCAGGAGGTGAGGGATGCTATTAAAAAAATGCATGCAAAATATATATAGCTAAATCTGATCTCCAAAAAAGAAAAAACCTCCTTGCATTCCAATAAGGTGTCACTGAGAGGCATGATGCTGTGCCAGGTAACCCATAGCAACTGCGTCCTCCACATCAGGACCAGCAGCAGGGAGAAACTGGGAAGGCTTGTTGCCAAGGGTTACCAACCCCTCTCCCATGCATGGCATAAGGCAAGTGCAATGTGTGGAGCTGACAGAACAGCAGTGGTGTCCAGGGTGCAGCCTTACCTCAGTGTGTCCCCGAGTGTACATGCACCTACTTCCAGCTGCACTCCCTCTCCCTGCACTCTGCACACTGTCACTGCATGCACTTTGAAGCTGTTGGATGTTATTAAGTAAAAAAAAAAAAAATGACACACCCGGGAGAATGGGAGGTGGATAGCAAAAAAAAAAAAGGAGAGAGAAGAGACAAGACCCAATTTCACCCCACCTCCCCCGCCCCCCTTGTGTTTCATGGAGCCATCCTACTTGGGAGGTGCAACTTGTTTCGCGCCAAAATGTCTCCCGGCCCCCCTCCGTCCTCCGCTCTCTGCCGCCTGCCTCCTTCCCTTTCTCCAGTGAGAAATGTGAGCCCGCTGCTTATCGCCCAATAGGTTTCCGGCTCACAGGGGCAGCCGGCCGTGCAAGCTCTTCAAAGGGCTGAGAGAGAGAAGAGGAGAGAGGGGGGCCGGCAGATGGGAGGTCGCTTCCATTATACAGGCCGTGGTTGTGTGTGTGCTTGCCACACAGCCTCAGAGGAGGGGGGAGAGGCGGCCTATGGATGTGTGTGAGATCATTGTCTCCGCTCCATACATTGTTATAGAGACCAGCACTGGATCTGCCCCCTGCCAGCTCACATATTATATATATATAATACTGGGTGCTCCTTCCGCCTCACATATTATATATAGTGTGCAGCTCACCACACACACTCCTCTGCAACTATAATATAAAATACTGGGTGCTCCTTCTACCTTACATATTATATATAGTGTACACACTCCTTCCAACTCTAATATTCCATAATAAATACTGGGTGCTCCTTCCACCTCACATATTATATATAGCGTGCAGCTCACCACACACACTCCGCTGCAATCATAATAGTCTATAATACTGGGTGACTCCTTCCACCTCACATATTATATATAATGTGCAGCTCACCACACACACTCCTCTGCAATTATGTACAATTGTATAATATTCTATAATACTGGGTGCTCCTTCCACCTCACACAGGAGCATTCACCTTTATATGAGGTGTACAACTCACCACACACACTCCTCTGCATGGGGTCATTAAGCTGCAAGAGGTTTCCTTCCTGCAATTTAGCATTATTGTATAATATTCTACTATAATACTGGGCGCTCCTATCACTTGTACACTTTATATGAGGTGTGCAGCTCACCACACACACTCCTCTGTATGGTGACAGTAACCTGCAGGGGGTTTGCTTCCTATAATTGTGCCTCAGGAGCCCAGCACTGCCCCAGGTGATCCTCCTGTCAGCGTATACATGGGCATGCTTTATATTAGATGTACCACACAGACTCTTCTGCATGGGGCTAATAACCTGCAGGGGGTTCCTTCCTACAATGATGCATCATGTCCAGTATTGTGCCTCAGGAGCCCAGCACTGCCCCAGGTGATCCTCCTGTCAGCGTATACACGGGCATGCTTTATATTAGATGTACCACACAGACTCTTCTGCATGGGGTTCCTTCCTGCATTGATGAGGTCATTAATCTGCAGGGAGTTCCTTACTATGATCCTGGATGCTGCTCCTTCCACCTCACACATGGACATACTGGGCATGCTGCTCACCACACACTCTCCTCTGCATGGGGTTAGTAACCTGCAAGGGTTTCCTTTCCAATGTTGCATTATTGTGTAATGTTTTGCTCCAGGAGCCCAGCACTGCACTGGATGCTTCTCCTTCCAGATCACACATGCTGTATATGAGGTGTATAGCTCACCACACACACGCTCCTGCATGAGGATAGTAACTGCAGGGGGTTTCCTGCCTATAATTCTGCATTATTGTATAATATACTACTAGAATGCTGCTCCTTTCACCTCACACATGGACATGCTTTATACTGGGCATGCGTCTCACTACACACTCTCCTCTGCAAGGGGATAGTAACCTGCAGGGGGTTCCTTCCTACAATTTTGCATTATTGTTTATTTTACACCAGGAGACCAGCACTGCCCTAAGTGCTTCTCCTTCCAGCTTATACATGGGCATGCTTTATATTAGATGTACCACACAGACTCTTCTGCATGGGGCTAATAACCTGTAGGGTACTTCATTCCTACAAGGATGTATTATGTCCAGTATTGTGCCTCAGGAGCCCAGCACTGCACTGGATGCTTCTCTTGCAGCGTATACATGGGCATGCTTTATATTAGATGTACCACACAGACTCTTGTGCATGGGGTCATTAACCTCCAGGGGTTTTCCCTCCTGCATTTATGCATTATGTCCAATATTGTACACCAGGAGCCCAGCACTGGAGGCTTCTCCTTCCAGCTCATACGTGTGCATACAACTTACCACAGAGACCGATGGTTTATGCCCAAAAGGTTCCCTTCCTAAAATGATAGATTATATTTTTCACCTGGAACCCAGCACTGCACTGGATGCTGCTCCTTCCAGCTTAGACATTTTGAATTAGATTTATCAAGTCTCTGATGGCAATATCGAGCGGCAACTGCCGTGGGGAGCGGGGGTCAGGTAAGCAGAAGACCTTTACAGAGGTCCCCTAGCCAGTAAAGGGCAGTTAACCCTTGCAGTGCAGGGGTAGTCTCTTTGCAAGGGTAGGGTTTTGTTTTGTTTTTCTCCACAGGTATAAGATACTGATATATGTGCAGGATCTTCCATCAAAAGCACATGTAATGGTCCATGAAGTGTACAGATCTGAGCGCAGCGGTTTTCATGTTGGGAGTTATTATTGCCACTGACACCAATGCTGGGGGTTATGATTTCACTCACTGACACCAATGCTGGGGGTTATAATTGCACTCACTGATACCTATGTTGGGGGTTATTATTGAAGCCACTGACACCAATGTTGGGGGTTATTAATGCATTCACTGACACCAATGTTGGGGGTTATTATTGCAATCACTGACACCAATGTTGGGGGTTATAATTGCACTCACTGATACCTATGTTGGGGGTTATTACTACATTCACTGCTGGGGGTTATTATTGAAGCCACTGACACCAATGTTGGGGGTTATTAATGCAATAACTTACACCAATGTTGGGGGTTATTATTGCAATCACTGACACCAATGTTGGGGGTTATTATTGCAATAACTTACACCAATGTTGGGGGTTATTAATGCAATCACTGACACCAATGTTGGGGGCTATTATTGCAATCACTGACACCAATGTTGGGGGTTATTATTGAAGACACTGACACCAATGTTGGGGGTTATTAATGCAACCACTGTCACCACTGTTGGGGGTTATTAATGCAATCACTGACACCAATGTTGGGGGTTATATTTGCATTTGCTGACACCTATGTTGGGGGTTATTAATGCAATCACTGACACCAATGTTGGGGGTTATAATTGCATTCGCTGACACCTATGTTGGGGGTTATGACTACATTCACTGCTGGGGGTTATTATTGAAGCCACTGACACCAATGTTGGGGGTTATAATTGCATTCTCTGACACCTATGTTGGGGGTTATGACTACATTCACTGCTGGGGGTTATTATTGAAGCCACTGACACCAATGCTGGGGGTTATTATTGAAGCCACTGACACCAATGCTGGGGGTTACGGTTACTGACACCAGCGATAGGGCTTATTTTACTCCACTTTCTTTTCTGTGTAAATAATACAGCAGGACTGATGTTTTCAGCCTTTGATGCATTTTACAGCCGGTTCATTTTTGATGGGCTATGGAACTCAAAGCACTTCACCGCACAAAAGCAAGGTGCTATTGTGCGGCCGTCTAGAGGCATCATGGGCTGCACATGAGGCAAGACCCTCTATAATAAGTTGACTACCACTACTATAGAGTGTCACTTGAGTGACAGCTCCAAGTCTTCTCCTAAAGCTGGGCACACACCTTACAACCATCGCAAGACTTTTTGTCTTGCGATGGTTGTAAGGTAATTTAAAAAACGTACGATCTGCCTATCTTGGACAGGCAGATCGTACTTGCGATGATCGCAAGCCGCGCCCTCCTGAGGTGCGGGCTTCCGATGACCGCAATGCCGAATGGGCAGTGTGCGCTTGCGCACACCGGCCCGTTCGGCTTTTATCTTACGAACATGCTACACACCCGCCGAACATCGTACGATGCTCGGCGTGTTTTCAAACATGTTCCTAAGATAAAAGTCGTGCGACCTTACAGTAGTAGAGGTCGCACGGCTTATCCACACGATAATCGTACGATCGCGGGATTTCCCGCGATTATCGCAAGATGTGTGGGCACCGTAAGGCAGCTGACATCACATCCAAGATGGTGGCACCCAACAGTAGTCACAGGGCTTTTGGATGTCTACACAAGGGAGCATTTTAGAGGTAAAGTTGCATAAAATAAGTTAAATGCACATATAATCTTACAGAAAGATTTTGTTGAATTGAATGGACTGGTGACAGGGTCTCTTTAAGCCTCAATAGCATAGGATGCATGCTGTGGTTATACTAATGGTATTAAAGCAACAAAGTCATTTACACGCATTGGCAGCTCAGTGTACATTCTGAGTACACCGTACGCATGCTTGGGAGTCATGTAATTCCAGCCAAACATCACGTATTGAAAGACTTGGTGAAGATGCTGGCCAGGGGAGGTAAGTTTAGCTCCCCTTTAAGGAGGTATAGTCTAGTGATGGGCTCGGGCGTGTTCGCAGCTCCACGTGCCGAGCCCGCCAGGAAGTTTGGAGCGCCAATCACAGGCACTGAGACATTTCCCGATCTCTGCAGCTGCGGACCGGGATAATGTCTCTAATAAATATGTATATATATATATATTGCCTTATTTATTTCTGAAATGTGTTTGCAAACTGTAGCAGAGAGCGATGTAATCTTTCCCCTACTTGGCATTTGTCTATTCTTTAATTCCTTACTCCTGGGTGCGTGTGGGCTGATGAAAGTACAGTACGGCAGGCTATGTTCCTGGAGAGTCTTGCAGACCACACTCCGCAAGCAGCCTTGGCAGCTCTGTAAATAAATAAGCTGCAGGGTGACGATTTCCCTCTGAGAGGGAGCCATCTTGTGGACCCGGGCAGCAGTGCATTGTTACATAACGGGGAGGTCCATTGCTACGGCTGTCACACTTATTACCTGATACCAAGTTTTCAGTCAAGT